CTCTCTAAGCTGCGTGGTGTGCGCAGCTATGTAGGTTCTGTCATGCCATGCTGCCAGGCACACCTGCATGGCCACGCACACCACACAGCTTAGAGGGAACGCTGCCTGAGAGTACCAAACTAATTTCCTATAGGACAGTACATGACAATCAGGTAATAACAGCTCTTGTTCACTGTTGAACTGGGTTGGTTTTAAATCTCAGGGCTACAAGACTGTTTATTCCATCGGTTACCTCCTAAATTCCTTCTTATTTTAATGTGTCCGGTGTTAGTTGAGTATATGTTGAATCAAATCTACTAGATTAGAAGCTGAGAAATTCTACTGGGGTTGTGGCAAGAAAGAATCTCTCCATCCCCTGTACTTCAAACATAGCCACAGGGTGATTTCATAACAATTCCTTCAGTCTTAAATATCATATTAAACACCTAGTGTAGGAAAGACACACTGCCTTTAACACAGTCTAAGGTCAGGTTAAGTTAAAAGTCTAGTGGGGAAATTGGTAGGCTTTTACTCAGCCACCTTATTTTACATTGAAATAGATCTTGTCTCCACTGGACTTTTATAATGCTAGCGAGCACATGCTAACATCTTTCTGTGCTCTTGTGGATGCTCCAACTTTTTGGGGGGGAAGGAGAAAATGTATGAATCCCCCATAGTGCTCCACAGCTTCTCCCTATACTAGGGTACAAAAATCATGCACAGGATCATGCTCACTAAATAAAATCCTGTACAAGCAGAGTGCCTGTTAGCTTGCTCCTATTGCACAATGGGATCTGTTCAGTACTGCATAGGAGAACTTGAAGATGGAAAAAGCGTGTTTTCCAAAACACCTGGACTGCAGGTTCTAGTTCATCTCTTAAGGAGTTTTTCATTGCAAATGATTGCATTCTATCTCCTACTTTTTCTACAGAAAAATATTTTTCCTTCTAGTGAAGGAGAAAAAACAAGAAAATAATATGTAACATTTTGTCAATGCAACCTGAAGGAGGCATGCTCAATACTTAGCACAATACTTAAAATGCTTAACATTTTATTTGGTTAAACTTCACCTTTTACTTAGAAGCTAGTAGAGGTGAACTATTTGAATCCCCATTGGGTTTTTCTTCTCTTCTCCAAAGTTAGTATTGGTATTGGTTGGTATTTAGGGTTTCAACCCAGGTAAAGATCTTTGCTATACCTTTAGATGCAGACATAATGATGATGGAAAATTCTGTTCTGTACTGGCCAAAGGCTACATTGAGCCTATGCTGTCTGTGGTTACTGCTATCAAAGACTTTAATGGTGGCTCCTTGCATCTAAAGATCCACTGAGAGGAAACTGTATTAGTACAAAGACACTCACACCCACGTTTCCATTGGGAGCCTCCATGTTGCCAGTACAGCCCCAAGTAGGGTGGCCATCACAGAGGACATTCCAGTTTTCTGCTACTCTTTGAGAGAAAAATAGAGGACATAAAGGCGTCCAGTTTCATATCAATAGAGGAGAGAGGACAACCAGACTGTCCTCTATGATGGCCACCCTACCCCAAGGCTAAGTACAAAAAGTTTGAGGCTGAATCAATTCAGTCTTTGCAGGTTAGTCAAAGAGGCAGAGATTAAACTGAGAAACAACTGGACACACATATACTTTTGATTCAGGAAATGCAGCTACATGCTTGCAGTGGCTCAGGCCAGAAGCCAGAGGGCACTAGAGCATGGCTCTCTGATATGTAGCCAGCATGTGTGTTTGCTTCCTCTTCCTGCTGCCCCTGAGGTATCTGGGGTTTGCAGTTCACAATCACAGCAGCAGGACTCTGCAGGCTTGCTCATCACTTCCTCTTCCTGCTTCCAGGCACCTCTGGACATAGTCCACAGTCACAACCAGCAGTAACTTTCAGTAAGTTTAGCAGAACAGGGAAGCTCTGTACTCGGGAGAAGCGGGGTTTAACTCCCCCCTGCACCCCGGGCCCAGACCTCAGCCGGGGTTTGCCTGGGGCAGGGAGGGGCAGTCCCTGCCTCCTCCCCACCTGCAACCCTCCTCTGGTGGAGCAGACAGCACCAACCAGCCCAGGGCTAGAAAGCATGCTGGGATGCTGGGGGACTCTGATTTAACTGGAATCAGGAAGGAGTCTGGGACAGAAGTTTCATAAACTGGTTTGACTCAAATCAGTTAAGTCTGATACTACATCCAACCAGGTTTATCTTAAACCAGTTTCAGCCATTTTGAAACTGGTTTATATGCACTGAACTTCTGTTCTGTTACAGGTTTAATCCAGTTTCTGATGACTTAAACTGGTTTATGTGTAACTTCTGTCTCTAGCCCAAAAGACAGGGACCTTATGCATTGCTGAATCAATGCATCTTATTAATAGACCTTGAATGGGAGACCCCAGCCACAGTATCAATCAGCTGAAATAGAATACCCCAGGAAAGGGCAAGCAGTAGCAATATTGATGCTCTCTTTCAGGTAAACAGTAGGATTAGGTGGTGGAGGAGTTGTAATTTGCATTTTCCTTTTCCAGTTTTTGTAAAATCTGGTGAAAGGAAATAGGATACAGGTTATGGGCTTTTTTAGATGTGTGTGCAATGCAGCACCGGGTGTGTTAGCTCATGTGCAGCACATACTCGATCCATTGAGTCTGCTCTGACGTGCTGCTTCTCCGGCACATTGCAGCATGAAAAGGATTGTGTATAAATGCCCTATGTGATGTAATCTCCCTTTAATGGTACTTTTACTGTTATTGGTATATAATACTGGTAAGATACTATTCAAACATACAAATTATATTCTTATATATGAGTTAGTCATTAAGGTGCCACCCTGCCCTTCCTTCTGTCTAACTTCAAACTAACATGCCTAACTACTTCTCTATATTTGCATGTGGAAACTGATATATTATCAACATATTTTATTGATAATAGTAAAGAAATTCTGAAGTTAATAAAGAGTCCAACTTAATTTTGCCATTCTAGGAAAATTAGGAAAAGATGCAAATTAAAGAATCAGAATATTTATATTAACTGATATTAACCCTTAATAAGTCATTCCTTTTCAAGTTTCATTTAATCATGAATAGAGATAGACATAAGCAAAACCCCCAGTTTTGAATCTTCTGGCTATAACTAGACTTTTGGTTCAAACTTATCTTTAACCTTGACCTCTAAGGCATTAAAAAAGTACAAATAATTTGTTCAAAAGCTGAATTACTTAAGAGCCCACACAGTGAAATATGAGCTTAAGCATCACAGCATTAAACAAAGAGAACATCTGGAGAACTGAACAAATATGCATTCTTGATCTTGGTGAACCATGTGTGCCCTTTTGGGGGGAAAATGCCTACTAAGAGAAAATCTCTTCAGCATTTTTATATGATCAGACATAATGAGGAATGAACCTCTTGTATAACAGATGTAAGCTAATAATAAGAACAATTAGCATCAATAATTTAATATATGTATCTATGTTACATAAAAATAATGAAAATAGCTATCTATGTAGGCAGCAAAGCCAAGCACTCAGTTTTAAGATAGCTTTAAAATAGTTGATTTAAGAGTTATTCATGCAGTCTTAATTCTGCTCTCTTCTGCATCTGTCAGCCCTCTTCTACATTCCTCATATGTACTAATTGAAGCTGGGGTCCTGTGGAAAAGTATTAGGTGATGATAGAATCAAAGACTGTATCATAATTCACTATAACACTTAGAGTTGTTGTTTTGGCTTTCTGCCAGTTGTGAGGAATGCAAGCAAAGAAAGAAAATAATGATTTTCAAAAATGTGTAACTCAACCACATCTGAATAAAATTCATGAGAAAAGAAAAGGGCTATCTCTAGCTGCAGGGCTTTGTCTATTATCCCACCCATCTCATTGTGGGAGAATCTGATCACTTTGCAGGGAGAACATACTGTTCCTTGTAGGGAACACCATAGGAGAGGGAAATGAGGGGTGTGTAAAGCCCATGCCTGAAAAATGCCTTCTTTCTACAGCACTACTTACAGGGAGTGCACTGCAATAGACTGGGCAGGATAGCCAAGCCAAGTGCCGGTGCTACCAGTGTTTGAAATCCAATACAGGCAGTCCCCGGCTGCAATAGACTGGGCAGGATAGCCAAGCCAAGTGCCGGTGCTACCAGTGTTTGAAATCCAATACAGGCAGTCCCCGGCTTACAATGTTTCATACTTACAACGTTTATAAACTGACACCCTGGTTCAACTTTATGACATCAGTTTCAACTTTACAATGTTTGATCCAATGTGATGCCACGCCAGCGAACAAGTTCGCTGCATTGCTCATCTCGTTGGAGAACATCTGTCCAAACTGCCTTGGACACTTTCTTTAAGAAAACAGACAAAACTCCAGAAAAACCTGCAGCCAAGACTCCTGAGAAGACTCCAGCCAAGAACCCTTCAAAAAGTCCAAGCAAGAGCCTTTCAAAAAGTCCAGCAAACTCACCTCAAAGAAGTCCTTCCAAATCAATGTGATTGCTATTTACACTATAAATACATTAATGTAGCTATATTACTCATCTATATTTGATCGAGTATAAAAATTCTGGAGTATTTTTGGTGAAAATAGAATATTGAGCCTTGGTTCAGAAACCAATACCCCATTTATTAAATGGTTTCTTATGAGAAAATTGGTTCCAAGTTGCAACGTTTTGACTTAAGACATGGTTTTCAGGAACCAAGTGTGTCGTAAGTCCGAGGACTGCCTGTATGGATAAAAGCTAGCACAAGAAGTAAATGAGATGGAAGGTTACGTGCCTGTAAGGGAATGGTTAAAGACTCCTCAGACAAAGGTCTCCTTTGGTACGCTGCTTTCTCTGCAGAGAGAGTTAAAGGGTTCTGAAGTGAATTGAGGCTTAGAATTGAGGCTGGGTGGAGGTTGTCTCCACCAAATTACTGGATATGTGGGAACCGTGGAACTCCACACTGGACCCAATTAAATGCGTAATGTCTGAGATGGGTATGGATATACCAGTCCTACTCAATGCTAAGTTGGGGTCTGACACTTAAAATCTATTCTAGTATCTGTCTTTCACCTGCATACCTTGAGCAACTGAAAGTCCTGCAGCCAACAGCAAGGGGTTAGAGAACTAAATAAAAATGTTCCAAGAATGTTTTATAATGGACTTGCTTATAAAGGTAGGCAACCTACACATATGGGATACTACTAACCCTTCTTATAATGTATGTAAAATACTGGGAATACAACTGTAATATATAGCATATGGCATAATTGCATACATTTGCAAACTGTGTACTATTTTTCAGTTTGTTTGGCACCCAGAGGTACCAAAGGTCACACAAAAGGATGGTATGAATATCTGAATACTGACAGGTGTTTTAAATTACAAATAAGATGAAGATATCTTCTGGAATGCAGGAACCACACTGAACTATTTTCATCTATGCAGAAAGAGTA